GAGAACAAGCGAGGGGCATCTAAGGTATGATGAGCCCTCTTTCTTTAATGTCCTCCTATTCGGACTATCATGTATATATAAATGTAATATGTTATAGTCTAGCAGACAAATGAACTATTGATGTTGACCTTTTGTCTTTTTTTGCTCAGGCTCCCTCCGAGAGTAACAAATATCTCGAAGCCCAAAAGAATGCTTTGGCTGCCAAGTCCGAGCCTACGGAGTACACCTACACGGAGCGCGACAGCATGCTCTACAACTTGGGCATCGGCGCCAAGAGGACTGAACTGCAGTATGTGTTCGAGGGCCACGAGAACTTCCAAGTGCTACCGACGTACGGCGTGATCCCGCAATTCGACACCAACATGCCGTTTAGCATGGACGAGCTAGTACCCAAGTTCTCGCCCATGATGCTGTTACACGGCGAGCAGTACCTCGAGGTCAAGAAGTACCCGATCCCAACAGCAGCCCGAACCAAGAACTTCGGCAAGCTGATCGAGGTCGTGGACAAGGGTAACGCTGCTGTCCTCAAATACGGCGTCACCACCGTAAACGCCGAGACCAACGAAGAACTCTTCTACAACGAGGCCACTGTCTTCTTGAGAGGTTGCGGAGGTTTCGGCGGCCAGAAGAAACCGGCCGATCGAGGCGCGGCTACCGCTGTTAATCCCCCGCCGAAGAGACATCCGGATGTTATCGTCGAGACTAAGACGACCGAGGAGCAGGCTGCTATCTACCGACTTAGCGGCGATTACAAGTAAGTTTCCCCCCCCCCCCCCTACTATCGCCAGCATAGCGACACCAAGACTGACCGCGTCGTCATAGCCCCCTCCACGTCGACCCGAGTTTCGCCAAGATGGGCGGGTTCAAGGTGCCGATCCTGCACGGTCTATGCTCGATGGGCGTAGCGAGCAAAGCCGTCTACGAGAAGTTCGGCCCGTTCCGCAACGTCAAGGTCCGCTTCGCCGGCACCGTACTCCCCGGCGAGACCCTCGTCACCGAGATGTGGAAGGAGGGCCCCTCCAAGGTCGTCTTCCAGACCAAGGTCAAGGAGACGGGCCGTCTGGCTATCTCGGGCGCTGCGGCCGAGCTCGTCGGCGGCGGCGGAAACGGAGGCAAGTTGTGAATCCGCCTGGGAGAAGACGGGGTTGGCTGGTTGTGGTTGTGGGTGGGGGATCTAGTGGGACGAGGATGGGTGTACGAGTCTGGATGAGATGAGATGAGATGAGATGAGATGATAATAGGGAGCATTAATTTTTTTTAGCATTGGGGGTTCTCCTTTCTACACATTTCTTGGTTCGTCTAATTGGGCGTTGTTGTGAAAAGATGATGTATGTTAGGTACCTAGGTACCTATGTAGCTTAAATTAACTTGGAACGAGACATTTTCAGTTTGAAGTAGGAATCCGCGCATGAATGCAAGCAAGTGTGTTAACTATACTGATAGTTAAACTGAGTATTATTACTATTTGAATATAGATGTTTACTATTGCTCTCGACATCTACATACGTCAGCCTCTTGGTATATATGGACGACGTAATAAATATCCTAACCTAACTTAAAGAATTCTACATAAATATATGAGCATTCTATAAATACAGGGGTTTCGGCGACAATAGTAGGCCCTAGTAATAGCTGGTTATGTCAAAATAATAGCTACATCATTATATTAGGTACAGTAGTGTTTAGGTACTAGAGGCCGTAGCCTGTGGCAAATAGTTGCATGTACGATGCTACTGACCTAATGGGTATAACATACAGATCGACTCCTATCCCTTTCCCTACCATACGCCCGATATATTTCCTCATACGCCCGTTCCCAATGTGAGGTTCGCTTTCGAAATTTGACTTCAAAGAGAGGTTCAGTCGATAAACCAGATAATGCTCCTTTTTTTTTACCAAAACTCCGTGCCCAACCCGATCCGTTCCACTATACAAACACAGTCTCTATAATAAAATCACAGAACTCTTCAATACTCGGGACCTTACCGCCCGGAAGCAGCCGTGCCAGGCTCTTGTCTCGACTAAAGCTGCCTACGCCATCTTCGAGATATGCCTTCTCTGCGTCAGACAGTTCGCGTCTTTCGGATGCTCTCCATTTCCGTTCTGCTTCTATCTTGGCTTTTCGAAGGATTTCCTCGGTATTCTCAGCCTCCCATAAATTGCACTTGCTACATTCGCCACATTGTCGACCATCGCCCTCGGGCCTAAAATGTTGACAAAAATGCTGGTAGCCCTCGTTTGGAGTACCGATGTTTTTGCGACAGACATAGCACATCTTATAGCCACAGGGACAGGTCAGCTTGTTGCATCCAGCTGTCTTGACGAAGGAGGTGCTGCATCGGGGACAGACACGCTTGATCGCCATAGACATCGCCTGCTCCACTTGTGTGCGTAAGGCGACGAGAGACGACTCGTGGCAGACGTGAACATCCATCCACGCCTTCGAACATGACAAACAAGACGAACGTCGGCAGGTTGGATTCTGGCAGTTGAATTTTAACCCGCGACGGCGACGCTGGTACCTTATAACGGCCGCTCCTAAATGCTGAGACACGTAATCCCGAAACGAAGGATTCAAGCACAAAATGGCAAAGGCTAACGCTAATATGAGGATGGGAAATAAAAGGGGAGATATAATTAAGCAAATGAAGATGATGATAAAGTTTGGAATATTGCTGACACGGATCCTGGGTCTAGACATGCTGGCTGGCATATATAGATCGTCGACTTCGGCGTAGGTGCAAAAGGGACATCGGACTAGAGGTAAGCCACTAGACAAAAGTCCATGCTCCGCTAGTCGTTGTTCAAGTTTGCGTATAATCTCATCTCCATTTTTCTCCCCTTGCATAGCTCGATGGATGTGCTCGGGCGATACGCAGCTGTCGCACTCTACCGACGCCACAGCAGGACATCGAAGAGCACCTGTTTCCTTTTCGATGCTACGTTGCCATCCCTGCCCAAAAACCGCCTCGGTAATGGAATGGCGAACGCAGTTAAAGCAAACTACATGCCCTTCGGCAGTGCAGGTGGTAATCTCTTCAAAAATCACATCCGAATAGCAGCAACTGCACTCAAACATGGCTTCGTGGGCTTCGGCGTCCTCTGTAAGTAGGGAAACGGCCATGGCGCGGTCCCTTTCCTCTCTCAATAGTTGCTCGCGTTCTTTTAATGGCATTATCAACTCTTCAAACAGTTCCCTATCCAATTCGGCACTACCGGTTGCCTTTAAAGTCGGAACCATCGACCCATCGTCCGCGGATTTCCATATGATAAGGGGATGCGTTTCGGCCTCGGCAGAAGTCACAGGCTTGCGACGAAAGAAGAAGGAAGATAGAGTGAACTTCCACGTCTTGGAAGAGAGATCCACGAGGGTCTGTCGCGCGTCGAGATACGAGTAGTTGAACTCGGAAAGGACTGCGTCAATCGAGGATCTAGATAATAGACCCTTAAACTCTTGCGCGGCTAAAGTACGCACTGCATTTTTGTATTCCACCGTTCTAAACGCCTCGGTTCGCGAGACTGGAGCGTTCGAGCCCGAGCCGGTATGCTCGCTAGCTCTCCGCCGCCCCTTAACGAACTCACCAGGGTTCTTCAACAGCTTATCCGTGATGATGAATAATCGCGACTCTTCGGAAAAGGATGCAAGCATCTCCCTAAAGACTTCGACTTGGATATCGGGAAAGAGGGCTGCGAGCCTTTCGAGGTTCTGGTTTAGGTCGAGCACATCTGGCGGCGGTTGGCTAGCGGGCTGGATTTGCGACTCGTCGGAGAGGTACTCAGGAGAAGAGGAAGTAGGGTTTCGGGGGCGCGACGGGGAGACATCAGGAGAACGTTGGAATTGCTTGGACCTGCTTGATATAAAGGAACCCCTCCGCCCTGATGAGGCGCCGAGTAAACTCGAAAGAAACATTTTACGTCGAGCCAAACGAAACAATGTCGAGCGAGTCAAGCATCGTCGTTTATGGTACCTAGTAGTTAAGCGTCGAGTCTCGACTAGATTTATAAAGAAAAAAAATATGACAAGGGGGGGGGCTTGCTATATGTAGTATCAGAGGTATGGATTGGGAAATTTGTTGTTCACGGACTCAAAAGATCAACGAAGGCGCATACCTAATATATGTAAAGTAGAAATATAGACGCCAAAAAGAAAGGCAGCTGACTAGAAGAAATGGTCTGAAAGTGGTTTGAAAGTGGTGCAACTTGCAACTTTAAAAAAAGAAGTCACGTTAGGTAAACGCAAATGCAAGTGCAAGCGCAAGTGCAAGTACAAATGACAAGTACGAATGACAAAGACCAAGGAGAAATACATACATTTTATTACGTATGGCCTCAATCTTGGAGAAGTCCACCTTCCAAGGATTGCGCTTGCCTAGGTACCTACATATGTACATATGTACCTAGAACCCCTAGAACCAGGGCCAGAGTCCCCTTGCAAAAGGGTCGGATGTTACCCCGTATTAAGGCTACCATATTAAGTTAGTTGCACAGACGACTTTACGCAACTCAACTGAACTTGCGAATCTAGATGGACCCACAGTACCTCTTTTCAAATATAAACACCAACAAAAAATTCAAATTCCATCCAATCATAACAAACGCACGGCTCAATGGTCCAGTGGTAAGATACTCGCTTCGGGTTAGCTATCTCTATTCCCCGGTCTCTTTACGAGATTGAAAATGTGAGTGGTCCCGGGTTCGAATCCCGGTTGAGCCCGTTCCTTTTTGCGTGATTCACGTATTGATGTATTAGTTTTAATACGGGACAATTTTTGTGAATTTTTCTGCCTTGAAATCGTTCTCTGAGGTGGAAGTATCGTATCGTAAATTGTAAGTATTTTACGGAACGAACATATGTACATCAACTTGTATACATCAACTTGGAGACCTCCAAATCTCCAAATTTGTTTGGTGAGATCTGATTGGTTCGGTCAAATCTCCTCAGAGGTACTGTATGTACGTGTAATATGCCTTAGTTACGTAATTGTACGACTTCCCCCAACCTATGATTGAGTGAGCTTGTATAAAACGCTTTGTCCTTCCCCAAGCTGCAAGGTCAAACTCGAGCTCTCAGCCCCTAAATCCTTATTGGCCCATACATCATGGACCTCAAACTCCCCACTAATCCCGAGATCATCCCATGATACCCTAATCGTCTGCACGCCGGATAACGATGTCCCAAAGCCTCCTTGGCCCTCGTCCGGGCCGTAGTTAGCGATTATCACCACGGCGGCCCCTGACTCGTCTGGCCCAGCGATCCACGCCTGTAACTGTTGAGAGCTGGGGAGGCCAGTTCCCGGGTTACGGGGCTGCATCGGGTGGTGGGAGGTAAAGTCACCAATTGCGATAGCGTCTGCATCTGCCAATAGATTGAGTCCAAAGGCATCAAGGTTAGTTAAATCAGAGCCGATGATAAGGTTGGCACCGGCTCCGAGCCAGTGTGTCATGATAGTCTGGCGCTCGTCATCCGTCACGCCTGACACCGAGGCAGGGTTGCCTACGAACAGGTTATCCATGTCAGGGTATATGGTTAGAGTTGTATTATATAGCATCACGGTGGTGATGTACTGTCGGTAGTTGTCGATGGCCCGCTGGACAACTTCCCAAGAGACAAATGTAGACTCCCCACAGTTGTTGATGTCCTGGTCGGTGCGCATAGAGTCAGCATTCGTCTCCCAGATGTCGAAATACTCCTGTGAACGATCCAGCTTCCACGAAATATCTAGACGTATCTCCCGTCCCGACTGTGCAATAGCTTCGTGGTACGCAACGACCTCGCCACTCAAGTCAGGAGGCAGGTTTACGTTGTTTGACGGTGATCCTGGCGTTACAAAGTCAAGCTTGATGAAGTCGACACCCCTTTTACAAACGTCTTAGCTTCAGGTAATTAGGTAGGTTTTGTTTTCGATATAGAAACTTACCAAGAAGCGAATTGGTTCACAACAGAATTATGCCATTCTTGAACGGCCGGTTGAGAGTAATCAAAATTGCAACGAGATAAGCCGTTATCGCCGGAGCACACCGAGCCAATAGTGACACTCGTCCCAAAGATAGTTTTCGCCTCGTCGGCGATGAATGCCCCGGGCACGACGTATACGCCGAGGAGTAACCCTTCAGCGTGTAGGTGGCTAGCTAAGCTCGGAATATCAAATATGGACGAATCATAAATGATACGTCCAAACTCATCGCCATTGCTACCTACGGACCATCCAGAGTCGAGACTGCAATATACATATCCGGCGCCTTTAAGTGCAGTGGTTTTTGCGAGTACGTCACATTGACTTATCACTCCAGTCTGGTTAAATGAAAAGCCCGGTGTTGTATTGGGGTTGTCCTGTATACCGAAAGAGTTCCATCCCCTAGGTGAACTCGTGAAGCCATTAGGAGTTGTTTCGATCTGAACGACATGCAAGGCCGGCTCAGATACCGCTAAAGCAATCACACCTGTTAAAGTGCCACTCGCGGCTACTAAAATAGAGCGTCGGGGTATCATGATAAATTAGGATAGTGAGTAAAGCTCGACGTTGTCTGGATAATAATGTCAGTATTCTAGATGAGACATCAAGGACAAAGAACATGTATGTATATACGAACCGTGGGCTCTTCAGATAGGTTAGAGTTCCTCGCGGAACAACGAAGCTATTTCCATGTTATTTGGTTCCACCTCGTGACAAATAAGTCGCTGTTTAAAACCCGTGTCTCTTAGTCCCATGATAGCCTATGAGCCATCATCGGGTAAACGGCAATGGGTTATATCCGGGACACGGAAGGGCGGAACGGAGTAATGTGATACATCTCATAATAGGTTTGATCTTGCGAGGCTCACGGTTATGATGGCGGTCAGCGGTAAGGGTCTATCGCCAGCAACGGCCCCCCTTTTAGCTGCCGTCAGCTTCTGACTAATATTTACGGACAAGTTGTGGATTCAATGTAACGGTGCGAGTAAGCTATGAGCTAGATTGTATGAGGTAGAAGACAACTTTTTATCAACATATGTTGTAATTCCACGCGAAAGCGCAAGTATCGATACGAGGCTCTAAAGTTTTAACTTCTGAAATCATGCAATTCATTAGTTACGTTGTAACTCTGGCGGGCAGATTGATTTCAAGTTACCCTCCCATTATACTAGCCAGTATAAAATATATATTTGGTGCATGTAGCATTATGTCTCATAGGAGACTATAGGCTTAGGTACTACAGATACGAACTGGATGGTTACACACATAAAGACTTTGATAGGAAAGTCAGTTAGAACGTTGCCTTGTGCGACTGTTACATTTTAGACGTAGCACAAAACAATAGATAAATAAGCGTCTACAACTAAATCTCATTAGGTGAAGTCACATTTAGATATATGCATGAGACTAGCAGTCTCAATACAGGCTATAACTCTTCCCCTTACAGCCTGAGACCATGACTGGCTTACATCTTGTCTCCATTGGGTTGTGGCGACCGCTTGCTATCTCTCAAACAGAAGCGGGTTACAAGCGCCATACTTGCAGTTGCTGTTAACAACTGCCTGTTTTGATATACGGATCCGTATATGTCAAACAAAAGCCATGTAAACGAGCTTGTAGCGGACTACCAGGACCCCGGGTGAAATGCTCCTATAATAAATTCTAACTGGGCATTTAATAGCGTAAGTGTGGTCAGCATATGTCCGAATCCACTAGGTAATTCGCTTAATTTTCCGGGTCATCGGTGTTATACTACGGTGAGGAGGGTGGGTGAATTGATACTTCATGGAGGCTCAATTCGTAATCTATATCTATATCCTATAAGCGCTTCCAGCCTGCCGTTTTATTCCCGGTTGAGCTGAGCTGAGCTGAGCTGCAGTAGTCTCGCGGGTGTTACCACACTAGATCTCCTGGGATAGCGACTACTAGACGGGTGAGGACTAATACATAGAAAAATCGGGAAGTAGTCGGTATTTTAAGTGATAGATACCAGCATGTATGATTCCAAATAGCCTTCAAGTCAACCAAATGCGTGTTATTAGAGACGATCAAGGATGAGTTGTGACTATGTCGCAAAAGGCGACGCCGCTAGTTGCGAGTACGCAACCAGGGCTTATGTGTGACAGACTATTATGTAGGTAGGTAAGTACCTACGTGTACTCAAAACGCCAAAGAGGCAAATTGTATATGGCAAAACAAGTTACAAAATGAAACAGTAAAATAAGTATAGTTATATTGTAGTGGTTATATAATTATTAGCTGATAATGATAAGGGGCTCTTAGAGCTGATTTAGGTACTTTAAGTGAAGGCCAGCTACTCACTACACGTCTTCCCCCACCGCCTAACCTTGAGCTCAATCATAGGTAGGTACGTGAAACAAGATCGAGTACCTTTGCTTCTGAATTAATTTCTTCCTTTCCGTTCTGAATGTACTTATAAGGTATACAGTAGATGATACTTCTACGAGTCCTTACTGATCTACAATCCTATCTTCACCGCCACAACATATGGTCCGGCTTTAACACCTTTGAATGCCACAGATGATATATTGAACATGATGCAGATGTGGTATGGTAGCATTGCTGGGACTATTGGATAGTGTGATTTGGCTAAGAGTAAGATATACGTACCTGGTGAGGAATAGCTAAAATTTTCAAGTTATTACGAATACTATAGGAGCCTGTTATTAAAAATAACCTCACGCTAGAAGCGTTGTCGTGGAACATGAGATGGTATTGGATGATCTATTTCCCTTTTGAAATACTAGCGGTAATCAAATCTCTACGATACCGTGGGCTTATGGCAGTATAATCGGTTGTAAATGGACTGATCCTAATAGTCTCCACCCATATCATCTTATACATATATACTTCTCAAATTTTCAGGGGCCGTGAAATCATTAAAATAGTGTATATATAAAGATTCACCCGTCCTTCTATCATCCAAGTAGTAGACAAAAATAACCCTCAGAATCTTCCATACATACCTACCTTGCTATCCAAACCATCACCATGCGTTTTTCTCTTCTCGCTCTCCCCTTTGCCACTCAGGCTTTCGTGGCGGCATTGGCAACTCCTGAGCAGCCTGGCAATATTGCGGAGCGAGATGCTGCTGTAGGAGAAATCGAGTCGCGCGACAATGGGTTCCAGATCAACTACTATACAGACGGCGGTTGCGCCTCTTACCTCGCTGCTGTCTTCCCGTCCACCGACGGTAGCTGCTATGACTACTCATACAGTGGCGACAATAGCGCCAACATCGCTAATTGTGATGCTCCGGGGGGCTATACCTGCTACTGTAACTTCTACGCCCAGTCAGGCTGTCAGGTAAAGACTGGAAACCTGATCTATATTAGATTAAATATTGCTATGAATAAAAACTCTAACGGCTTTACAGGGTGCTTCGCAGACTATTGGGTACGGCAACTGTGCCTCGAACTATGGTCATGGCTTCCTCTCCATGCAATGTTACTATGCTTAAGAGCTAGGGTAGTATAGCAGTTGGGATGTCGATTCTCTGCAGGAATAGTCTAGATGGAGTACTGGTCAGGGGCTTACGGACACTCTTTCAAATGACGGTACCTGACCATGGTATTTATGCACGGCGCCGCTCATTTAAAAAGAAAAGCAACGAGAGGGATTGCTATGTTATTATATATTGCTATCTTAGTAATTGAACCCAAATCGGAAGGATACTCTCAGCTCGGTCAACCACTACATTGGCTCTTCAAATGCCTTAAGAGAATAATAATATAGCAAACATAACCTTTTTTATTTACTTCTCTCGGACACTGTCAGATATACTGTAAGAGCATAGAAACTATTACGAAATTACCTTTTAGTGGTACAGTAGTATCTTCGACAGATACCGTTCCGCTTGGAAATTCTGATATAGCTTTCCTCTGACCTAATACAGTTTATCTACCTAGATATATTGACAGAATTATCCGGTGGCTTTTATAATGCCTATAAGCGCGTCTTAAAGCGTGCCTATGCATACTGTATTACGGCATAAAGTAGCATATCATGCCTCCATTCTCATGAGCCCCTTTCCAATTATCGAAATTAACTGAAGGGGGGGCCTTTTGGCTTATTGGCTTAGGCAAGCCTTAGAGGAGACTACTGCAAGCCCCTATAAAGTCACGCCTAACCACATCAACCTATGAGATTTTATCATCGAGGATCACCCGCCAGTTACTAATCATAAGCCCCCAGATATGTATAGAAACTGCTTTATAAGAATTTATTTTAATGAATTGCCAGCGAGCAAACAAGAACGCTTTGTGTTTTAATCGGATAGATAATTTAAAATAATAATTTAGGAGCCTACCTGAGGTTGGGTCAGGCCAGGTTCACAACCCAGGCCAAGCTATCAGCTTGCCTTCTAAAGACACCGGGATGTTCAGGTATGTATTAAAATAGGTTTTATTATTTTGGAGTTCTTGAACTGGCGACGTACTCCGAGGATGACGTGGACGCACGGCATGGCTTATCTATCCCTCTCTCCCGGTGCAATGCCGTCTCCAACTCAAGGACGCCAGGGTAACAGATACATTGCGATACCAGATATGGAGTGTCGTATTCAATTCGTTTAATCCTCTGCTACGTACTACGTGGGGCAATTCAAGTATAAGAGGAGGCAATCCTTCAGAAGACGGTCTCAAATTTAAGTCGATTAATGAGCCTGACCATCACCGGCACGAATATTAGAGTGAAATATTTTCCAAGAGTCCCATCCAAATATTTCCATAACGTTTATACCTCCCGTATTATTCCGCCATGGCTTCTACTTTAGTTTCAATGCCTAGCACAAACACTACAGTCAAACAGTATGCCTTTGCTGCTCGCCAAGGTACCGACTGGTCATACTATCTAGCCCACCGCCCAGCCTATCCGCAATCTTTCTTCGAGCGCATCTATAGCTACCACGCCCAAAAATCCGGGGCAGCTTGGTCTGTAGCTCATGATATTGGAGCTGGTTGTGGAGTCGTCTCTGCAGTCCTTGCTAGTCGCTTCGACAGCGTCATAGTCTCAGACCCTAATGACGGATATACTAAGCTCGCCCGAGAATACTTACTTGAGAAGACATCGTTCCCCGAGTCTAAATTCAAGTTCCTTCAAGAAACTGCCGAGGAAAGCTCAGTTGGATCGGGTACTGTCGATCTGATTGCCGCGTGCGAGTGTATTCATTGGACTACACCGGACGTTGCTATCGGGGAATTCGGGAGGCAGCTCGGAGCTGGTGGGACGCTTGCGATCACATACTATACTCGCCCGCTTATTGAGGGAAATGAGCGGGCTGCAAGAGCCTGGAAGGCTGTCTGGGATGCTTTTCCGAAGAAAGTTCAACGATACGGGATAGGTGAAAACCCTTATAAAATAGGTAATACTGCACTTGAAAGCTTAGAGTTTCCCGAGGAAAATTGGGAGGCCATAAAGAGGATATATATCAATTCTCAGGGGACCGTGGACAGTTTCATGCTGGATGACAGAATAATTGAAAGTAGGGTCAAGGAAAGTGAGGAGAAGGTGTGGGTAGAAGAAGATGATGATTGGTGTGATGTGTGTGATATCGAGTGGCTTAAAGGCTATGTCGCCACATGGGAACCGCGCCTCCAAGAGTCCGAAATACAAGATATTTGGGATGAGTTGGAGGCTGCTTTGGAAGGGAAACCAGTTAAGACCAGGACACCGATTGTGATGATTTTAGCCACAAAGAGAGGCTAAATGCCAGCTCTTAGGCAACCGCGTGAAGAGGTAAATGGCTGCAAATATTTGCAAACTAGGTATAAAATACGTAAATACGCAGTAGTCTAAGGACTGGACAAGATAACATATATAAAATAGACACTTTCACTAATATCAAGGATACCACCTTGGCCTCGCTTCTCTCAATCCCCTTATCATTTTGAGTCTCTTAACTCTTCTCTCCACTTGTTTGAACGTCCTTCCTTGCAGAGGGAGACAACCTTAGCCCAATAGTAAGAATCCATAGAATTATTAGCTGGGATACTTTCGGTAGTGCGGTATCTCTAATAAGCTTTTCGAACTCCTCGTGGCTTGTATGCGACTTGATTACAGTTATGCTTCGGTCCACTTCATCATGTTTCTGGCCCGGGGGGTTGTCTAGGTTGGCTGATGTTTTGACTCTGCCATTGAGAGACGACGGTTCTCGGCTTGTAGATTCTGAGTGTTGGTCCATGGCCGGCGATGGTATTTCTAATTTAGGGGCTGATGTAGATTGTCTTGTTATAGGCTCTCTTAGAGAAAGTAACGCCGATGAGACTCTTTTAAGATCCTGTAATTCTACAGACTCTGAAGAACCCAAGCTGCATGTAATGGGCGGTAGATCGTAGTTGAATTGGTTATCCTCTTGTTCGTCGCCTGGCTCTGCTGCCTCCAAGATCTCGTAAGACAAGTTGGCGCCCGAAGAATTCTTGGGAACTTGAACGAGTTTTGCGTTCTTTTTGTCCATTTCGGAAGGTATATTTTTAGCCAGTTCATCAAGGGGATATTGGAAGAGGTTCTTTCTACCACCAAAATCTACCATCGTCGTCGCGAACTGAGGCTTGACGGGAAACTTGAATTTTTTAAATGCGTGCGTCACCCTGTGTCGTAGATGTGTAGCTACTCCTTCGAGACAACCGCTAACTTGGACCCGCATAAAGAATGGCTACCCATCATGCTCGAATGCGAATGCCGTATGAAACGTATTGTCGTATCTTAGCTGACTATCTAGATTGCTTTCAAGAAGACGCCATTCGAGAATCGTCGGTCTTGCCAATTTGTTAGGCGTCGACGAACTTGAGAACTTCCATTGGCTCCGGTGTATATATTGCTTCATCGAATCTCGCCCGACACCACCAGCTCCAAAAATACCACCGACTTCCACGTGAGGATTAAAAGAGTGTTTCGTGATCTTGGAAGCTGAATCCAGCTCTCCGTAAAGGTTCTTCGGGCCATGCTCAATTATATGAACAGTGATTTTGGCCGATGAATTACCATAACGTTGTAGGTCTTCGTCTTCTTCGTCCAAGGTCAGTGAGACAATTGCGTTTTTAAGGCGACAGTCTAGCGGCTCAGTAAAGCTCAAGTCCAGGTAGATTATGCCACCCGGATTCTTTTCCGGGGTTAAAACACCCCATCGCGACTCTCTGAATAGAAACTTGCACGCAACTTCCACATCTCCAATTTTCCCTTTACCAAGGTAATGAGACGAGCCCTCTAGACGCTCAAAGCGTCCAAAATCATATTTTCCAAATCTCCGACCGGATTGGAGACGCTCGGTCCATGATAGTGCGAGACCGCTATATACTGGCTGTACAGGTGCATGAGTGAGAAGTGATTAACGCGCGGGGTCTTACCACCATCCTTAAATGGTATTTCCTCTAAATTAAGAGTAGGTCCCTCCTAAGACATTTGTTGTGTCTTATTAACCTATACTGTTCTAAGTGGATTATTTGTGTATTATTATGTTGCTTTCCTTCTGGAAAGAGCATCATGAAAGGATTTACCCCTTATATCGAGGAGCTACCACGAGGAGATCCTAAAACAGACCCGCAGCTTTCCAGTCCCTTTCTAGGGATATACAATGATCAAAAGAAAGCCAAGAAGATGCAAATCATGTCGCGAGGAAAGCATACCGCTGATACTGGACCCCGACACCGCGCATATCCTTTCGAAGATCCTGCCCGCGCTGGCTCCGGAAAAGGGGTTTCCTTAGGAAGTTCCGCAGCCTATGATTTTGATAACCCAGGAGTGATATCCCCTAAAAGAGAGGTCAATAGTTGTTGGAATCCGTGTCACGATGCTGACGACGTTACGGTCCATCTCAGGATGTCTGTGCAGGAGGATCTGGACGACAGCCTAGAAGAATTTTGCCGTCTACAGAGGCTAGGCGATTTTATCTCTGCGAGACGGTTCTTCATGGAAATCCTACAGGATTACATATATAAACCTATAATACGCATGGAATATGCTGAGATGCTACTCGAGCAAGGCGACTATAATGCCCTCTCTGCGGTTGACGGCAGTACTGTATGCTACGCAGAAGACAATGATGGAGATAACAGTCATGGACGCTTGCTTAGATCTTATTGGAAGCTAATGCAGGTTCTTATCGCTTGCCATAAGCCTGGTAATGTGTCGCATGACTACAATGCTATTATGAATGAAACTTTCTTTAATCTCGATATTATAAGGCATGTCATAACTACAGAAAAGAGAGAGATAACTTCAACTGAGGTGAGTACGCCTTCAATTCACTCATTTGCGTACTGCTAAGTAATTAGATCAAAATGCTTGCAATGGCGAATCGTCTTGCCCTTTACCAAGAGCGCCTGGACGGATTATTCTCTTCACAGTTCTACAGAAGCTTATACCTAATTCTTCTTAGGCACGGGAGTATTTGGGATCTTTATGATATCTCTGTAGCTAGGATGACGAACCCAAATCTTGATGTCAGTCAAGATTGGATCGACGACCCATCTCCCCGAAAGCGCATCCAGACTCTCATCAAGGACTGGTCAAGTGCAATTAAAGGATATGATACGTCAACGACACTCGCACTTCTTAGTATTCTTGGGTCATATATACAGGACAGATCGACAGACTTCGATGAGGAAGATAGTGAGTTCATCGAGTACGTAATTGATCAGTCTACGCTTCTTGCAATCTCAGTCATGGAAAACGACCCCGATAGCATGAGAAGTCGTCCTTTCGTGAAGTGGATGCTGGCAAAATCTTATAGTAAGAACACTGGACAGCTTCACCTCCAATTAGGATGCCTTCGTTCATCGCCCGGAACTATGTTTCATGGCAAAGGTTATGTACTGCCTGGATATGTCCCACTGAAAATCGAGAATCCGGGTTGGAAGGTAGATCAGGCGGCGCCCGATATCGAAGCGTCAGTAAAAATGGCAATCAAAACATCGCACATTCTCGGCGACTATCAAACAGAAGTAACAGCTCATCAATTACTTATCATATTCTCCGCAAACCCAGCCCAACAATTTGAAGAGCTTGGTAACATACAGAAGAAAACACAAGGAGACATCTTGAATTATGCGAAAACACTAATTTCAAAATATCTGATTTGCGATACCGAAGCTTCAAGAAACGACCTCAAAAAGGAGATCTCGGAACTACTTTCTATTCCATTATTGCATACTTACATAGGACATCTACAAGGCTGGGCTCTTTGGATGCTACAGCATGCCCTAGAAAGCGACGAATCAGGGGCTAAGAGAGCCTTGCATGAGGCCGACATAATGTTTGATGGACTCGACGGTGTGAATCGAGAATTGATCGATCAAAAGTTTTATACGAAGCACCGTCTTTCTCCAAAGAACACAAAGCTGCGAACACCCAGCTTCTACGAAGTAGAATCCCAGGTAAGGAAGAACGGCTCAGATTCGATGGAATGAGTTACTGGTCTAACACCTCAAAGGCTATAGTTAAACGGCCTAATGCTAGCATGTCAAAGGAGACTGCAGGAATGGGCTCAGAAAAGGCAAACATCGGGCCAAAGACGGATTGGAGAGAGGTCATTCACAGTAAGTATTAATCATATAACTACACATTGTTAATATATGCTAATACTGGATTAGAACCAATTATGACAATGGAGAGCACGGAGGATTTGGGTGAATATGGGACGAAGGTTCAAACACCCACCCTTCAATTTGAATAGACACATTTCAGATTTCTCATATGAGGTACTATCCCCAAAGCTTCCGTTCAATAGATATACGATAGTGTTGTATGTAGCCTTATGATTTGTATTCTCCCCAATTTTCCGTTTGCAACGAACTCCCAATTATTACCTTGATATAGATAGAGGCTGTTTGTCAGCCACATAGAAGACTCTAGCCATGCAGAAGAAGCCACATCAATCCAAACACACAGTGCGGTAACAAGGCGCCATACATTGCCCGCCATGGAAATACTCGGGATCCTAGCGCTAGAATTAGGTTGCCCCAACCCTGTACCCGTCCCCAATGAGGAAGGTATGAAGTAATACTCCACACTGTCCTTACCCACCCCCGGACTCAGCTCGCATGACGCCCCATTCGTTCACCAACTTTCCTGCAACCTTACGATCCATATGTACATGCATGCGCTTCTACCTGCTAAGCCTCCTACCTTAGTAGTCTTCCTTTATATATCTACCTAATACACAATACAACACTCCTCACTATTTATTCCAATATTTCTTTACTGTTATTTCCCTTCCACGTACGAAAAAAAAAAAAAGAGAAGAAACCGAAAATCAGATCAACATGTGTACCCCGGACCTGTTCCTCGGCCTTCTGGCCATCCTATTCCCCCCTCTGCCGGGTACGTCATCCCCCAATGCCAATGAGTCTTGCCCCCCCTCCCTCACACACGAGCACTCGTTATTCGTCTGCCTTGCGTGGATAGGCAATCCATCTCACGACGACCACGAACAGCCATCGATTATTGCGATTTAAACGCCGATTGCATTTTAGAATCCAATAGCTAACCACGAAATAATTATTAATAGTCTGGGTCAAAACCGGTCTCTGCTCCGCCGACTCCATCATCAACATCCTGCTATGTATGCTAGGCTTCGTAAGTCCCACCATACCCCACGACCCACGATATCCATCATCCCCATGCATACGCTATCCGCATCAATCCTAATCCCAATCCCAATCCCCGTCTCAACCTCAATTATATTCTAACTATATCCCACAGCTCCCCGGCCTCATACACGCCTGGTACATAATCGCCAAATTCCCCGAATCGTACGAGTACGAAGTCGTGCCGCAGGACAGCGAGCCCGGCCACGTCACCTACGTCTTTGTTCAGGAGCCCCAGCCCCAAGCCCGTCCTCAGGCCCAGCCCAAGTCTGCCTCTGACCCGCACCCCAACTACGGCGCTACCAACAACAACAACAACCACAACGACTCTTCTTCGTCTGCTGGTCCCTCCGACGGTCACCACTACGAGGGCCACTCCCCGCCTACCTATAACGAGGCCGTCCAGGGCGACCACAAGATCCAGACCCAGGACTAGATGTCCTACGTGTTGCCTACCGCGCTGATCAAACGGCCGCGATGGTGCTTGTGGATGGACCGGCATCCCGGGAGGTTCTAGATTCTACCTAAGGCTACTCTCTCAAAAACCCAGCTAGAATATCTCCAGGAAGACTTCATACATACAGCGGGACTCACTACGGATCAGATGGGAGAAGGATATGTTTTTCTTAGTCTAGGAGTTGGAGGCAGGACTGGCTTCGGACTGAGCAATGTTTCGCGTTATACCTCGTTTCGACCATTCGACGAGGTTTCTCGGGGTTCGTCGAGATTTCCTCTCTGGTGGTATGTAATACAGCAATATTGTAAAAGAATAATTAATATATCGTAGTTCAACGAGATATATCATGATAGTTAACAATATATTCCGTCTACAAGTACTACTCAATAAACAAGAAACCTCTTTATATCCATCTATCCCCGTCATCGTCATCGTCGTCATCATCGCTCCTAGCATTGCCCGACATGTCTCTACTTTTCTTCCTTCTGCCGTGGTACACGCAGATGCCCGTGCCGCCGGATGCGTGCCTCTTGTTGGTCGGGCACATGGGGCTGTTGGGCAGATGCTCCGGCATGTCAAACTCGAAAGAGCCGTGTGTCACGGTTTCGTATCGGTTTAGAGCCACCGGCACCTCCCACCACTCCTTGCCCGAGCCACTCTTCCTCTTATTATCTCTCTCCTGCCTGTCCCCGTCCCGGTCCTACCCAGTATTACGCTCGGGAGCAGGAGGGGAAAGAGGTGCAGGGCAGCGAGAAGGCCTGGGCTCGCTTTTACTATTCCTGCCGGTTTCGTGGCGAGGCGTTGGTGTCGAGATGTCGAAGAAGAAGGACTGTGGTTGACAAGCGTGGTAACCGCTCCCGCGTAGGGGTGGTGTCTGTATGCGAGTTGCCTCCTGAATTTTCAAGTAAGCGAATCAATCGAGTATCGATACGAATATTATAGTCGTCAGACTTACACCGCCAGGGAACTCGGCGCAGAATGTATGCGTCGGTTCTATATATATAAATCTGTTAGTTAGTCCGTCTCTTACTTGCCTAATTAATCCTTTCGTTTCCATTCCCCTTATCTGTTCTTCTATGTACAAATTGGGATCTTCTTAAAAATTATAGGGGTCTTAGATAGATAGGTAGATATACTCACCGATATAGGAAACCGGGCTCGTGACAGGCGTCCGGCCCCGGAGCACGTCGAGGATGGAGCTTGAGGCGCTCACGTCGGAGCCGGCATAAGCTTCGCGGTGCCAGGGGCTCTTTCCGAAGAGCTTGAAAGAACGCCGCCCCTTGCTCTCCTTGCGTAGCAGTGATGCCGCGCGGCCCATAAGCGGTACAGGCGAATGAGTCTGGCCGTGGCCTAAGGGCTGTGCTTGTACGTCCGGCACCGAATTTGCCGTGTAATCGTGTGCATCATTATCGCTGTATACCTTCTTGATTTTCTACATTAATCATGTGATATCCTTGTTAGTGCCCTGGCATACATACATACTTGATAATGAGGGACAGGGGGTTATATAGAAACTTAAATACGGTCCCTCGACTTACTGGCCTACGGTCCGGGAAAAGCCTTGAGAAGAACGATTTCCTGGGCTTGGCGTCGGGCATAGTTGCAGCTAAATTGAGGATAGACGAGACCGAAGCTCCCGGCGTGCTTGTCAGTTGGCTTGCGGGAGTTGCAAGGGGAGTAGCGGAGTCCGAGTCGGCACTTATTATTGTAAGCGGTGAGCTTTGTATCGGTCTGGCTGGCCCGGAAAATGAGATGGCGTCTTCGCTACCTTGGAACCCTTGGGGCGATCTCTGTAAAGATTGGACGTGGGCTTCTTCTGTTAGATACGGGCTGGGTCGTGGTGATTGCGGCGTTCGATTAAGCGGGAACATAGACTTGCTGCTCTCGCTGCTCGCGCCATGACGGGTGAACGATAGCCCCTGAAATGACTGGTTATGGCTGTCCTCGCTGGGAAGGGGGCTAGGTATAGGCTGGGAAATCCTTGGTATATGATCCCATAGACCGCCGGATGAATTCTCCAACCCATCTTGAGTGTCCCAGCCGGAACTACTCTTGCCAGAGCGCTTTCGCCATTTGAAGTGCTTCATGACCTTTCCAGGGCTCTCGGCGACTTCGCGCTCGGCCCAGTAACCGGCTGGAAACCAGACCCATTCACAGCCTTCCCTGGCCGGCCGCGGCGGATCGATATACGTGGTATTCGGGGTGACCGGCGCGCTCTTGTACGATTCCCTCACAATCTGCCGTCCGGCGGGGTGCATAGTTGGCACCGAAGACGATGGCAGCCTGCTCGTTGGTCCGTCCATACCGGAGATGCTGGGAGGTCGCTAGCGACTGGTAGTACTCCGGTGAGACCATTCCGATGACGAGCTTCTATCCTCAGCGCTGCCTCCCATAGCGAGGAACCGGCGCATTTTTAAGGGGTAGGGATGGGGGTGGATAATAATTATTAGGTCTTGCCACTTTGAAAGGTTGATTTTATGCGAGGGTGACAAAAGATCCATTGTTGATATAGGAATTTCGATCATGTAGAATGCGGCTTATAGGTAAGATTATACCAAGGCCGATATGGCTTGGTTAGGTAGACAGATAGGAATATTGACACGTTGAAGTCGGTAAAGGTCCTTTACGCAATATCCACCACACTTCCAACGGTGTGGCATATGCCTAGGGTTGCCTTTCTTTACAAAGCACTTGCCTTGCCTTTTCTATGTCGAAAGATCTTTCTTCTTCCAATTATGAATAGTTAGTATATACATGCATACATACATGTGTATGCGCTTTCCTCCTTACTCTAATTACATGTTAGGTGCCTTAGTACCTGTATATTTAGGTAGATACTTCAGTCTTACATATACCTACGTAAGGCATCTAGCATGTACTAATATATTCTTAGTCGTTGTCCTATTTTTGGTATGTATATACCTAGCCTATAGGAGGGCTATATGTGATTGGAGTTATCCTGTAGACTTAGTCCTCACTAGTCGCCATATTGTACACTATGTTACATCCCTGGATATACATGTACGACACCTCTATCTAATTTATGCCCGTCTAAGCTCTTCGGGCGGCCTCATTCTTTTTAGTGTGCGGCTCTAGCCGAGTGATGGGCTCCAGTTCATCGGGGCTATCATATAAGGGTTCTTCATGTCCTTCCTCATTCCATTCGCCAGGTATTTCATGCCCGGGTCCATCGATCGAGGCATCTCCACCAAGAACTCTTTCTTTCTTGCGCTCCGATTTACTAGCTTGCTGGCGAATCTTTTCTAATCTCGCTCTACGCTTAGCAGTGTCAACGCTGACCTTAGCCAGATGAGCATCGATCCGAGCCTCTACTAATTCTTTCACGTGAAAGGCAAGGTTCTGGCTTCGAAAGACGCCAGAATACCGATAGCTAAGCCAGAGGTAGAGTGTTATCGTCTTGTGAAGACTTTCTAGTCGTCGCAGATTTTCTGGTGAGTTACCAGTCGCCTCCTCGACCGTGTCAAGAAGTTCCAGGTCGATCCCTGGGATATCGAGTAGCTCACCTCCTTCCATATTAGAAACACACCTCGCGAAAGCTTGCAGTATTTCAACGCCAGACTTATCAGCTAGATAGACCGGCGCATTTAAGAAGACGCATCGATCATAAACCGACATGGGATAAGGTTGGATATAATCAGAAACCGCTAGCATTTCTTTTAGGCCGCACATGTGAAATCTCGGAGAAACTCGGGCGATATCTCGCAAGCGGGATATTATATAGCTGAATGGAGTATTAGGCGGGAAGTAGGATGAAAATCGTTCGATGACCGACGGTGGTGGTTGTATGCCAGCCGACAGTATAGGTTCCGGCTCGCGAGAAAATGCCTTCTTTACGATAGAAAGGTCGGCCTTTTCTAGAGTCGTCACCAACCCAGGCTGGCCAGTTTTGGGCGGTGGGGTTCCAATTGTCTCTTCTCCATTTGCATCCGTCGTCGATTCCGATTGGGTTGCTTGGCGTGCCGTTCTGTAGCGGCCAGCTCTACCTCCTATCTGCTTGATTTCGGACACTGATATTTGCCGGTAGCTGGTTTTCGTACGTTTGTGTGTTTGCTCAAAAATGATCCGTTTAATTTCTAAATTGAGACCCATGCCAATAGCGTCACTGGCGACGAGAAAATCGTAATCGTTATCAGGATCATTAAAAAGTGCGGCCTGCTGAGCACGAATTTCGGGTGGCAATGATCCGTAGACCATAGCACATCGGCGACCCGTAGTCTTCTCGATCTGATTCTTTATAGCGTGGATGGCAACTCGGGAGAATGTGATGACCGCATCCCCCTTTTCAAGGTTTGAGTAGTTGTCCAGGCTCGTATCCATGGTCTTTAGCGGGCTGAGTCTGTTATACCGCGTTACAATGCATTCGTCGCCGATGGTAGCGCATAGAGACTGAATTAATTCCACAGCACGCTCCTCTCCACAGAGATGGACTTCCTTGGCTTGTACACCTAGGACCGCTTGAGTCCACGCCCATCCTCTTTCGGCATCTCCAATCATTTGGATCTCATCAATGACTGCAACGTCCACTGGCAAATTAAGAGGGGTCATCTCAACGGTACAGCTTCTAAAATAATTGTCTTGGTCCTCAGGAATACGCTGCTCTTCACCGGTAATCAAGGCACATGTCTTGCCCTTAGCATTGAAGCGAGTATATACCTCATGTGCTAATAGCCGAAGAGGGCCTGCATAGATACCGGACTTGGAGTTTTCAAGTGCCTTTAGGGCATTGTAGGTTTTCCCAGAGTTCGTCGGACCGACGTGAAGATGAATTGTGCGTTGCATAGCCCGTGTAGCAGGGAACCATTCGTAAGGAAACCGAAAATCCGCAATCTTCTTATGCGTAGCGGCGATATTCTTGGGAAATCTTGAGCGCATAAGAAAGTTTTGGAAGCCATAGGTCAACTCGTCAGTAAGCCCAACAATATCATTTTCAACGAAAGCATTGCGCAAGCCCCAGAACAAGGGGTTCTCGGTCTTTGAGATAGCATTCTTCTCGCTCGCAAGATCGCAAGCCCTTTCAATCGAGTTCCTAAACAACTTTACCTCGCGGTCGAAGTCGAGCTTGGAGTTGAGACCGAATGACTTGTACTCCTCCTGCTTGCCTCCCCAAGAATTTGAAGTATTCATCAACAGATCATATCTACCAAGAGTTAGGTTTCGGAATATGCCATAGGTCTTCGTCGCTTCTCTTTGCGACTGTTTGGATTTCTTGGAACCATCGGAACCATCTTCGCCTAATTTATTCAAACGGGATTGAGCTTCTTGATATCTTGGATTAATAAACGGTGCACCCTGCTTCAAATGCTGTAAATTATTAATATTTATAATTGGATAGTCTTATGGTCTTCTTACCCGAGCTTTGGCATAGGGATTTGGCTTCCCCTTTTTTTGGACGCGAGCCAGGGGACCAAATGTTGTAAAGGTATGTCTATACGAGGGGACATTTCCAACTAAGACATTTCTAAAGGCATATCTATGATATGCGTGAGCCGCATAGCTTGAACTAGCCGGTCCAGTCCTGAGAGGGAAGTGCATTTCGCATATAAGGAGTAAGAAAGAGATCTGGAATCATATTAGATTAGATCCCTTTGCATTTAAAAAAATTTGGCTTGCCATCAACCTTGAAGCTAACGAAGCATTCGATGGGAGGCAAATCATAGACTTCGCACCCTAAGAAACTTCAGCGATGGTGGGCACTGATAAGAGGTAGGTACATAAATTTTTCTTATCGATAAATCCGTAGTTTATCTAAGAGATGCTTAGTACGACTTGAGTTACGTACAGCGCACGCACGGAGTACAAATGGTACTTGCCTATTGTGATATACTGGTTCTTAAGCTCGGTCTTCTATTGGCTACATACACTAGTGTATCACTTAATGCATTCCCCATCATCATTAATGGATCTTCAGTTTACCTAAGAAGCCTAAGAAGGTAGCCTCACCCCAATCGCCCAGCCGCCTGAACTTGCTGACTTAACTCTCGTCAATCCTATTGCCAATCCTATCCCCCTACCTTTGAAAGTCCCTCCCTCCTAGATATTCCTCTCCTAAGTTACTGGATACTGGATAGTTAACTAGTCAAGAGTGAAACTCACGAATACTATCAAAAGTCTCGAGCGATCAGCTACATTCTACATAGATTGTGTGTCTCAATACATCATTCACGATGGCGTCCTCCTCGACACCTCAAACTCCACTTCTCTAGTACGTCCCGATCCATCTTATCCGTCAAAAGGAGCCAATGAGCGTAGCTAACAGGCGCAGTTCGTGCATCGCGCACCACACCACGATCCTAGCCGAATGCACGACTTCGGCATCGTCGCAAACCTCGTCGCTCGCCTCCCTTATCCTCCCCAAGATCAACCATGACGCTCCTCAGAAGCTCACGTACACGCATGGCTCGCACCACATCCACTACATATCGGAAGCGCCCTCGGCGCACCCGGACAATCGGTCGGCCGGCGGGTTGACGTTCCTCGTGATCGCGGAGTCGTCACTGGGCCGGCGCGTGCCCTTCGGCTTCCTATTCGAGATTCGCAAGCGCTTCTTCGACGAGTTCTCCGCGGAGACGGCCGACTTCGCCGACATGCCTAACTATGGCGCGGGAAGCTTTAATGCTGAGCTCAAGAATCTGATGGTCGAGTTCGGCACCACGAGCGGTGGCCGCGACGACGCCATCACCAATGTCCAACGCGAGATTGATGACGTCCGTGGCATCATGACCCGCAACATCGAGGGTCTACTCGAGAGAGGCGAGCGCATCGACTTACTTGTTGATAAGACGGACCGCCTAGGTGGCAGCGCGCGAGAGTTCAGAGTGCGCAGCCGCGGTCTCAAGAGGCAGATGTGGTGGAAGAACGTCAAGTTAATGGCGCTACTCGTAGTAGTGCTCCTCTTGATCATCGCCGCGATCGTGATCGCGGTCAAGAATGCTACGGGATGAGGCGGAAGTACAACATCATACATGTACACGTTCTTTTAAAGTTAAGAGATATCCATGCGCGGGCTAAGGAAGAGAGCGTGGAAAGCTTCCTAATTTGTTGTATTTTTAACGGCGTTTTTTTTCTAGGCTGACAAGATAAGGAAGATGTAGTCTTTGCTAATACCAAGGCTCATGAATAGGTGGAAAAAAGGACAATCTGCCTTGTTCTTTTTGTCGGCGTCGGTACTCGAGCCGGAGGGATTGCTTTAGGATACCAAGTGTATTCTCGTTTGTAGCTATGTACATACAACTCTGTATCTTTAACAAGCAGGTTTAACAAGCATAATGGTTCAAGCAGCTGCAAGTGAGCTTTTAGCTTCTGTGAATATAGCCAAGTCTGCAGCAAGCAGATTGCGTCTTATAATATAATAAGAATAGTTCCTTTTGACAAGCTTAAAGATTGTTAAGAGTACTCAGCCACTTATATTAGCCAAAACATTGGTTACCGACGCCCGCCCCTACCCATCTACCCATGGAAAGCATCTCTTATAACCTAGAAGAAATAGATCCATCGGCTCCCCGCTGTGTTTCCGGATAGGCGTATCCATGCGCAACGGGGCTAGTTACTTCCGCCGCGTCAAATACGAATGGCGACCTCTGTAATCTCTCGCTGAAGAAAACAGGATGCAGACTCGAAGCGTCCATTTTCCTAGTCGTAAGAGTCGAAGGGTATAGTGTCGGTGCTGAGATACCTTGTGGCATGTGATCAGGAAGTGGTAACGGCTGAACCGCCGGGACCGGAACCGGAGTCGGCATCGGCATTGAAATCGGCTCTTGAGAGTACGACGATTGAGATGGTGAGTTTAGAGATAAGGCATTTGGGCATATATTGTCGGGTTCATGAGGTGGTACTTGAGTCGATAACTGATTTGTTCTTACGTTGGGCGGCTGAACGTAAAAGTTAGTAAACAAAATTAAGGACGAAGCCATAGCTGTGAAATCGAAACTAACCCGAGGTTGTTGTCCTATGTCGTCATTCTCACGTGGGGATAAAGCAGGGTGCTTTAAGCCGAAGACTTGAGATACCGAGTGCCGCAACATTACGTCCCGTTCGATTGAAGGAATAAATTGAATTAGAAATTGGTATACATTTACCTGCTACGATGCTGATTTCCCGAGGGTAGCAATTGATATTGCCCTACGGTGGAACTCTAGTTAATCCGTTGCGTCTTATGGAAATGCATACCTACCTGCCTAATGTATACTCGGTACGTCGAACTCATGCAATGATGATGCATCGATAAGCTATTAAATTCGGGGCCATTGCAGGCGGACTGGCATCTGTGTCGTATTAGGCTGGATCTACTAGACTAATGCAGTTTAATCCTTTAGATATGCACCCCGGAAGTTGCTATGTATATAAGTCGTTGGAAAAATATGCAACTTTTAGTAATGAGATACTTTAGTATTCAATATATCTTTCTCGGTTCATTGAGACTATTTCCTCGTGAGTTGCACAAGAGAATTAGAGCCAGGATACTTAATATTAAACTGTCTATTAGGAAGTCTATTCACGACGAAGTCTTCTTACCCTTCCGTCGCGATGTTTTCTTTTCGGCCTCTTTCCCCTTTTTGATCGTGTTTATTAACGAATCGATCTCCTCGGCTTTTTCTGCTTCCTTTTTCTCCTGCTCTTTTAACTCTTGCTTTTTCTTTTCCAAGACTCTTAGCGCTGCCTGTTCCTTCTCAGTCTTCTCAATAAGTTTGTCGCTGGCTTCCCATAACTTTTTCGCTACCTCTTCATCCTTTACCTCCATCCTCGCAAAGTCAACCTCGCTGCATTCCTTAATAAACTTGCCACCCGGTCCCATCCCTAGCCTTGGATCCATAACAGCATGAAGAATAGACTGGGCACCCATTTCCGGGCTCTTCAAAAGAAACCAGGGTACCACGTAAGAGAATACATAGACCGCAAGTCCCCAGAGTGAACCCCGTGTTATCCATCGCAGCATTCCAGGAGTACGCGTAAAGCCAGGGTCGACAAAGATGACTCGTGAGTTCATTGGAAGTTCGTCCGGTCGCTTGTACGCATCGAGGTGTTTTTGATATGCTTGTCCAAATACCATTAACGCCAACTTGCTTCGGGCGTACGCTTTTCCTGGGGTCCATTCCTTCTTCACGAGCGCACTGTTCAGCGTCGGAGACCGAATGTAAGAAGAACATGTCGGAATGATTATTCGTACGTCGCGATCGAAGGGTTGGGCTCGGAGAGCCGGACTTAATATTCCTAATAGATGGAAGTTGGCGAGATAATTGACCATCCACATCTCTTCAATTCCTTCCTCCGTCTCCGTACGTTTGCCCCCTGGCGGTGTAATAGTGGCAGCACATAGAATGAGCATATCCAACCGACGGGGCGGTGCGTTATCAATCCATTTGGTAGCAAATTTACGAATACTATGTAGAGAAGAAAGGTCGACCTGCTCCGCATATATCATTTGGTTATTCGTTCGTTGGCGTAGCTCCCCGATATAATCCGCGAGAAAGGGGTTCGACGGCGGTAGGTGGGTGAGAAGCACAATTTGGGCTCCTCGTTCAGCTAAGCCCCGTGTTACAGCAGCGCCTATTCCTGATGTTCCGCCAGTTATCATGACCACCCGGCCGTGCATTTTGCGTTCTGCCACGCTCACGGTTCCGCTGGAGTATCGCTTCAGAAGGTATAGGAATCCGGTAACGGCTCCGATTTGGAATAAGGTCCATGGGTCGCGCGCCCAACCGGGAATCCAAGCCGGGGGGCCATTAATGAGGACATCGTATAAGAATGGAATTGGCATGATAATCGGGTAGAAGCAATTGAAATTCTAGGGGAAATTTCAAGAGGAAGTCGTTGCTGGAAGGTCTAGCTGACGGGAAGCATCCATTTCTAAGCAATACGTGAATAGCGTGTACCGTGTACCTATGTACAATACAGGGGCTGTGTCGACAACTTTTTTTTTTCTGTCCTTTAGATCCCTGCCACTAAAAAAGCACCGACAGGGGTTGATAGATCGGAAATGCAAGGCTGAAAGTGCCGAGACGAGTCCCACTTCTATATCTTAGATAACCACATGATCCCTGCACTTTGAATTTCGCCTCATTACAGGTACCTTCCAGCCTTTTCGACTTCCCAATTTTCACTATTCTTTCTCTTCTTCACGCACAACGTAAAAGGTTACGGTTACCAGAAAATCCAGGTTTTTATCCAGATGAATGTATTTCATTAATTATCAAAATGCCGTCCGATGAGTGGAGTGATCCAGAATATGACGTCCCTCTTCAAGACAAGCGACCTTTTGGATCAGGACTAAAGCGAAAACGGGTCGTTTTCGTCCCTGCTTCTTCAGGCAACCTCAACACTACAGAAGAGAACACACCCGCGAAACCCTCTAAATCTGTAGCTGATTTATATCTGAGTATTGTATTGCCTAAGGAAAAGGAGGTTAACCAATCAACCTCAAAAGAGGATTCAGATGTTGCTACAACCTCCCGAGTCTGTGAAATCTGTCGGTTACCCTTGGAGGAACCCCTGGAAGAGGGCCTCGACTCCGATGGGAAAGCAAAGACGAGCTCTCGGCCACACGAAGCGTCGATAGCACATCAGGTATGCCTGGCTCATTCGCATCCGCCTTCGGCGCTAGACCGGTCGCGAATGGGGTTGAATATCCTTCAGTCTCAAGGCTGGGATCCGGACTCACGAAAGGGACTAGGCGTTGAACAACAAGGTGTACAATATCCTATCAAAGTAAAGCCAAAGAACGATACCCTAGGAATAGGAGTCCAAGTGCCGAAGAACCTACCACCCAAGAAGGAGAAGGCGAAGACTTATGATGCCAAAAAGGTGCGGAAGATGGTCATGGAGGATAAGAAACGGCATGAAAAACTCCGGCGGCAACTCTACAGCAATTCGGAGGTGGAGAAATACCTGGGGACTGGATAAACCACACCGCATGTCTTTGGTCACATGTTATATATGAGACTATTTAATCATATGAGATACCCCTTTTCCAGACTGCCAATAGATTCAAGTCTGATTATTCTATAGTTAATATTATTAGAACAACATAACTTAAATGGCTGGGCTATATCAACCGTGGCTTGACTTATTAATTCATATCTCCATGAACTAAAGATAAAGAACCCTGATAACGACCTAATGTGTCACGCTATGTATGACATCCCGCAACTCTAAACTTCTCAGACAGCTAGAGTTTAGCCGCTACGGTGAATGTTATCCTAGATACCTACCTAGGTACATAGGTAATCTCACGTATATAGATACCTCATATGAATGTCTATTTGTCTCTGTTTATATTGCGAAGAACAATTCCATTGCACGTATTAGGTAGGTACTTAACGAATGTAGGTAATTCGTATAGACATATGTACCTACATGTATATAAGGCTGGGTACCTTGTAGTACATACATTAATGTTGTCCACTAGCGACGAAGTGGGGCTTTCCAATGTCCAAACTCGGTCGCATTAGCGGATTGGCGCCCTGAAACCGAACCCCGCCAATGGCCAAGGGCCAAGAACCACATTACCACTTTACTACTTTACTACATTTCTACATTCTCATGGTCCCGTCTCTCTGAAACTCAAATCCTCTTTACCACGTTGTCAGGTGTAATGCGTTCATCGATACCAGAAACTTGTATATGCTTTGGTGATACAGGTACATTCTTCTTACGTCGATCTCTTGTCACCATACGCGCCCACCGGAACTCTTTACTCGTACATGCGAACAATTACCAATAGCGACACGTTGGTTAATAGCTACTTGTAGGAGCTTACCTCTAACCTACCTCCTACTTCTGAGCTCGCCAACTACGCGACACGTCTTGTTTTCTTTTCTTTGCACCTCGAAAGTCTCGTAGAAATAACGTATCGCCATAATATCTCCGTAGTGCCTACGGGCTAAGAGACAAAATGGGGGTATCCGTGATTGAAGAACAACGCGACGGTGAGAGGACCCCTTGTACATCTACGAGGCTAGAAGCTTGCCTTTCTTATCGGCAAGAACCTGTTGTTGTTTGTAGCATAGCTAACATTACGAATTCTCTCTCGCATATAGTTATCATAAATACAGTTAAGAACATTACTGCTGGCGATGTAAGCTATACCCCTTATATACCCCTTTCCAAGGCCGAGACGACCATATTAACAGGGCATTGCTTGTAGTGGAAAGTTCTAGTCGTCGACACCGAATCTAAGAAAATAATTGACAATGTCGTCAAGGAGGATGATATTCTTAATCATAATATCGCGAGTACGTTACCCGACCACATCTTGTCTCTGGCGCATTGGCTGAAGAGAGTGCTGCAGACATCGAACGTATCGAAGATCGGAGAGATATGAACCCGACTATGGACGCTATATATATACTATCACCGCAACCTCACATTGTCGATTGTCTCATGGCTGATATTGAAAGACGGAGATATAAAAAATGCTTTTTAGTATGGACCACGGTACTCGATCCTCAATTAAGGAGGCGAATAGACGGTTCACCCTTAGCAAAGCAGCAGATTGCGGGCTTCGAAACTCTCTCCATCGACTATTATCCTCGCGAATCTCACGTCGTTACGTTTAGAGACCCTTGGAGCTTTCCGATTCTATTCCATCCCGCTTGCAATGGACTTATAAGGAAGCACATGCAAGATTTGGCTCAGAAGGTTTGCGGAACCATATTAACTTACGTCTGATACCTGTCGTCTGACTTGAATGTTGATAGATCACTGGTTTATGTGTGACCCTTGGCGAGTACCCTAAGGTCCGCTACTACCGGCCCCAGAATCCGATACACGAGGCGAGCGTATTATCGTCGCATCTTGCCCGTTTCGTATCCGAGGAACTTGACGAATATGCACAATGGAACCCTAACTTTCCACCGCCGAGTTCTCGTCCGCAGGGTGTTCTCATAGTGACTGACAGGTCGATGGATTTGATGGCTCCCTTGGTACATGAATTTACATATCAAGCGATGGCACACGACCTACTACCGATCAAGGACGGAGATAAGACGACGTTTCATATGACCGTTAACGAAGGATCCCCAGATGCAGAAGAGAAGGATATGGAGCTCACCGAAAAAGACAAAGTGTGGGTTGAAAACCGGCACAGACATATGAAGGACACCATCGATAAGTTGATGAGCGATTTCCAGAAGTTCCTCGATCAGAACCCTCATTTCACAAATTCGAACAGCGACAC